ACCCACCCCACACCCCAAACCCCCCACCACCCAAAAAAAAAAAAAAAAAAAAAAAGCACTGGCCCTGCTTGCACTGTTTTTTGGGGCTCCTTACCCCACGGATAAGCTCTTCAGGGTGTGAGTTGGCTTCCCAGAAGGAAGAACGTATAGGGCAGATCCTAGGATGCCCACTAGCTGGCTTTTGTGTTCAGAGGTACTCAGAGCGGTAGAACAGTGCTGATAAAAGCCATGGAGATACACCCAACAAGGGCCTGCTTCAAGCACAGTCAAACTCCTTAGAATTAAAATAATACTCGGCACCTCTGCGGGTGACCACCTTACTCAGGGAAGCATCCTAAAATTAAGGTCAGGAATCAAGCAATTGGGGGGTTCTCTCAAGCCAGTGCAACTCACTGTTCTTCATGGGGAACACAGGAATAGGGTGCTTGGATCCCCACTCTGCCCTGCATGCCGATGGGGCCGGAATCCTGGAAGCAGGATCACCCCGAAACTGTTTCCTCTGAGGAGAACTCCAGACAGAGCCCTAAGCATAGGGCAACTGACATCCACACAAACATGCTCAGATCTCAGGTACAGACACACAGACCTGGGTCTCTGGTCCACCCACCCTCCTACCTATGTGGGAATCTCCTTTGAGTTTCCCCCATGTCACCAACGGCAAGAACCCAAGGAGCCTTTTGTTCAAGGAGATAAAATGTTTGACTGTAAGTCACTGAGACATCCTTTGTGCTTTCAATACCAACTGTGAAACAGAAAACTAATTTCACTGCGAGCATCTTTAACCTAAAAATACAGAGCTGAAGGGAAAAATGAAAGAGTCTGCCTCCCTTGGTGTGTGCAGGGAACAGAGGAGGCCTGACCCAGGAAATGGCTTTCCTCTGGAGCCCCATGGGCACCTTCTCTTGATCCCTCCCGACCCTTTTATTGGTTACTTGTCCTGTTGCTATGGTTAAAATAACCGAGGAAGGCAACTTAATGAAGGAGGGGTTTACTTTGGCTCACAGTTCAAGGTTCCAGGCCATCATGGTGGGGAAGTCATAGCGGTAGGAGCAGCTGATCACATTGCATCCACAGTCAGGGATGTGAGTGCCCACTTGCCCCTTTGTGTTCAGTCTAGAACTCAGCATGTGACGTGTGCAACCCAGAATCAAGGTGAGACTTCCCTCCTCTGCTTCCTCAATCTACATTATCTTTCACAGGCTTGTCCAGTGGCTGGGCTAATCTATACTGACTCTCACCCAGCATGCCCAGAGCCTTATCTTCCAGGAGAGTCTAAATCCTGTCAAGTTCCTAATCAGTATCAACCATCATGTCCTCCCCAGACAGACCTCTGTTCTGTGCACCATGCTGGGCTCTCTGGGTGTCCACTACAGTTCACCTGTGGTGGTTCCCTCCTTCCCTCTCACTTTCTAACCTCACAGTCCTAGGTATTTCCATCCTTCATGGTCAAGCTATATCTACCTCAGCCTGGCTGAAGGTCTTATCTCTCTCTCCCCATGTCCCCACCTTCCCATGCTCACCCACTCCAGGGTATAGGCAAATTCCACTAATTCAGGTCGGTATGATATAGTAAGTTCCACGATTCATCTGCAATGTACTATCTGACCCATCTTCCACCGAGGGCGCAGGCTGACTCTAAGAGGCCCAGGAGAGGCCTACAAGGCAAATGCCAGTAGCCAGCACTAGCAGGGAAATTGATAACAGGACTTACAAAGGAAATAAGTGAGAAGCTGATGATGAGAATAGCCAAAGGGACTGGCCAGCCCTTAGCCGGTACTGTCTAGCCTCTCTCCACCATCCGGGACTGCCACCTTCCTCGGTGGCTTGTATGGTCACTGATGCAGGGGCAGCCACAGTGGTTACAGTGATGCTGGCTGCCCTGAACATCTGTGTTTTGCACCCCACTCCTAAGAAGCTACGATTGTTGGTTCTTTACAGATGGGGAGATGACATGGGAAGATGGCTCAGCTGGTAAGGTCCTTGCTGCTCAAACACGAGGAACAGAGTTTGACTCAGCATTCACATGAAAAGCTGGGCATCATGGTGAGGATTTGGAATCCCAGTACTGGGGCGGTGAAAATAGACATATCCATGGTGCTTACTAGCCAGCCTAGATGACATCCCAGTAAAATACCTTGCTAACAAGATGGACAGTTGCCAAGGACTAAAACCCAAGGTTATCTATGGCTCCACACACATACATGCCAATTGTGTACATGTGTGGGCGCACCTACACACACACACACACACACACACACACACACACAGGTAGGGACCCTACCAGGGGACAACTTGCCACGACCAAACAGCATAGCAAATGACATGGCCAGTCTACAGCCCCAAAGGCTTGTATGTGGTCTGTCTGGGCCCTAGATAATAGCAGATACCCAAGACAAATGGGCAGAGAGTGGGCCCAGGTGGCACACAGGCAGGTGTCATGGAGGGCTGCACTGCACCATGAGGATGAGCAGCCACCAGAGGCTGGGTGGCACTCTGGAGGACTCACCAACAGAGACCTAACAGGGAGCTTCAGGACTAGGGTAGTTCCCATACCAGGTGCCAGCCAGCACAGCCTAGAGTGTGGCCCCAGGGGACCCCAGTCCCTGTGGTAATTCCATCGGTAATAGGCTATTGTGAACCCTAGGGGATACTATGAAAACCTAATGGAAGGAGCTGAGAAAGCCTGCTTGGCCCAAGAGGGACAGTGAGGGTAAGTCCTGGGATCCTGGTTAAGTCTTGACAGGAGCTAGATGGGTAACAGATCTGTTCTGCTGGAGGTGCCAGGGGGTAGAGAGGAGGAGGTCCCCAGAAACTAATGACAGCTGCTAGCCCAGAAACCAAATAGGTCCTTGTAGTCAGGCATTATCCTAGCTAAGGTCAGGGTCAGGACCATCAGCCTGAGGACATGGGTGTGCTATCAGATGCAGGAGGAGTAAGGGCTTCCTAGAGTCCCTCACAGGCCACCAGGAAATGGGCAGCTGGTGCAGAAGGACAAGGGCGGCCTGCCTGGGACTGGGGTAACCTGATGAAGGAAAAGTTTCCCCAGCAGCCCTTCACTTCAGGAAATAGCTGGTCCCCACAGGTTCAGCTCCCTGTGGGAACAGCTTCCCAGATCTCAGTCAAGCCCAGACAATATGACTCCAGGGAAGCTCCCTGCAGCCTCTTAACCTTGCATGCAGACATCTTCCTGTGGCAACCACTGCCCCCACTAAGATCTAGACATTCTCCGAAGCCAGTGAGTGATTGTCCACAGATGGAGGTTGTACTCCATCACTGGCTGTTTGTGACCAGAAAGGGTACCTGTGTCAATCTCCAGAGCCTGACCCAAGGCCAGGCAGCACACATCAGGGCCAGAGATGGTAAATTATACTGCCACTGCTATATTTGGGTCAGTGTCTAAGAGCCAGACTCAGCAGGAGGGAATTACATGAGAAAGAACCAGACCAAACTCACCAAGATACCCAGTTAATACCTGAAACAAGAGGATCCTGGGTGGGCACTCGAGGCCACCAGTTTCTAGGAAACCTGGCCTGCCTGGCAGCCCCTTTGTGGCATTTATGGCTTCTATTTGGGTTTCTCTTCTTTTAACAGGGCAAGAACCCCTTAGGACATGAGAAGCCAGTCACTGAGACAGGCCCTAGTCCTGGAGCACCCCCTGCTGGTTATTCCGGGAACAAGTCAGACCTTGGTAGCACCAAGGATTGAGAAGGAAAAAAACCTGCAGGTATATCCACCTGCTAAACAACATTAGCTACACACAAGATACTCTAGAGGCCAGGCACTGGTGGTGCCATGGAGCCTCAGGCACCAAGGATGCCATGGTTAAAAAAAAGGAAAACCTTCCAATGTGGTTATGGACAGGAAGCCCCGTAACATATGCTGCAAGCTAGCTGAGCACCCAGACAAACTACACAGGCTCCCACCAACTAGCTACTGCCCAAGGTCACATACTAATAAGAGAGATGCTGAAGCAAAAGTCCGTGTCCCACCCAGAAGCCCAGCTAGGACACCGTGTGAGATACACCCATACCAGCGAACCCAAAAGCCACAGCACCCAAGTGATCCCAAGATGCATCGCCCTAGGCATCTACCACCCTGCCTCCCTCCCTCTGTCCATTTTCCCAGTAACCACCCCAGTCCCTGATGCGAGTCCCTCCACCAGGCTTCCCTGGCCTCTCTTCTGGGGACCTCATCCACAATGATCAGCACCCATCGAGGCCTGTGACAAAGAGCTGGTACCAAGATCTCCGGAAAGGCTTGCGTTCATTGGGCTTGTCGGGACAATAGACTTCCTGCCCTTTGTGTTGCTTGGGTTCTACAGGGAGATGGGGAGCATCGGGGCGAACCCAGGACATCAGAGCTTTCACAGCCCTGGCAGTATTGATTGATAAGGTCGAGAAAGAAAATGGGCAAAGCTCCATTCAGGGTACGACCTTCACTGGCGAAAAGTGAAAAATAAAGGCTCCGATTTCCTGGAAAACACGGCAGAATGTCTTCAAGAGCTCGGGATAAATGGGCTTGTCTTTTGTAGCACTCCCCCATGGGAGCGGGGGGTTTCGGGGGGAGCACAAAGGAAAAGTCGGTGAAACTGACTTCCAAAAGAAGAACTCCATGGTCAACAGATGAACGGATGATGGGAAGCTACCTATCTCAGTTACTTTTTCCATCGCTGTGATAAAAATACTCTTGACAAAAGCAGTTTAAGGAAGGAAAGGTTTATTTGGCTCACAGATCCAGGAATAGTCAGTCCATTAGGAGAAAGTCCCAGCAGCAGGGGCTTGAGGCAGCTATCAACGTCACATTCCTAGTCCAATACATGTGTTGGAGTGACCGATACATGTGTTCAGCTGACTTTCTCCTTTTCTTCAGAATCCCAGACCGGGACATGATGCTGCACACAGTGGGTGAGTCTTCCCACCCCACACAGCATAGTCCCTCACACCCATGCCCAGAGCCCATCTTTTACACAATTCTAGATCTCATTGAGTTGGTCATGGAGGTTAACCATCATGCTACCCAACCAGCCCAGGGGGGAAAAATGTTATTATCAATGCAGTCAATCAACAAACACTTGGGATCTGGGGCAACTCCTTCAGGTTAACAAGAACTAGAAGAAGAACTAATTGGCAGGATGGATCCCAGCTCCCCAGAGGCACTGGGCAGAGAAGAACCTGCGGTAATGCCACGCAGAGAGATTTTCATCCTCACCAGTCACACCCGTGGGAAACACCATACAGCAATGATCTATAACAGCGTACATTGGGCTAACTGACAAAGATGTCACTGGCTGGGGGAGGGAAGGCTGGGAAGCAGTTCTGATACCCTGCAAAGGTAAAGGCAGGCATGCATTGCCTTCCCTAGCAGACTCTAGGGGCATCCCTCTCATGAACCAGAAAGGTCTATGTGGAGATGTTCATTACGAATTCCTTCTGCAACCCCGAAGTGGAAACAGCCAACATGGGAACATGTCACAGTACCCTCAAGAGCTGGGCATGGTGGTGCACACCTTTCATCCCAACACTTGGGAGACTAGATGTCTGTCCTTGAGGCCAGCCTGGTCTACAAAGTGAGTTCCAGGACAGCTAGAGCTGTTACACAGAGAAGCTCTCTCTCTCTCTCTCTCTCTCTCTCTCTCTCTCTCTCTCTCTCTCGTATATATTCTAATGAGAAAAGAGTACATCGAGAGGATAAGACCCTTCAATACAACATGGGTACATTTCAAAATTATGTTAGGGCCAGTGAGGTGGCTCCATAGGTAAAAGCAGTTGCCACACAGTCCTGGTGACCGGAACTCTATCCCTGGAATCCATGTTTTAAAAAAAAAAATGGATACAGTAGCAGGCATCTATAATCCCAGTATCCCTAAGGCAAAAACGGAAGGTGGAGCCAGAACTGCCTGGAAGTCCATGGACCAGCTAGCCTGGAGTATGCAGGACAGCAGCAGGAACAAACCAAACCTTACGTCTACAAGGTGGAAGGCAAGAGCCAACTCCCAAAAGTTCAAAAATTGCACTCTGCTCTCCACATACTAGTCATCACACACACACACACACACACACACACACACACACACATCACCATCAACAACTGTGATGCTGCATAGGAAGAGATATACATCACATATACAATAATATTTTTCAAAATTATATTATTTCTTGGGGTATTTTTAAGTTGCAAAGGGATACATACAGCAAGACTCACTTAACACAGACTTAAAATATGCAAAGTAACATTATATATATGTATATATATGCATTTTTATATGCCGTATCTGTGGCAAAACTAGGTACATGTTGCAGGGTTATCATCAGCAAATTGTTAGTGCCTCAAGGGAGCCGAAGAGGAAGGGTACCGTGTGGGGAAAGATGCAGGGAGTACTTGGACTGTATTTAAGTAGATACAATCAGATGTTCCCTCAGCAGCAGAACAGAGAAATCTGAGTATTCTCACTTAATGCAAATCCTAACCTTCAAAAATAGTCTATGATCCAAAAATGAAACACTAAATGAAAGCACCTAAAACTCTAAAACTGAAATAGTATAGACTGGGTAATCGCTTTCTCATAAAGCTTGGAGTCATAAACGAAACTAGGAATGTAAACTCCATGATGGAGTCTTGGTCAGCACACGTGAAGCCTGGGTTCAATACCAGTATCCCCAAAAGGAAAAATAAATAAATAAATAAAACAGACAACCCACCATGTGACCTTACAAACTGCAGGAGTCACCCTGAGGAAGAGGAACTCAGAATGGGGCCTGTGGAAAGGCTTGGGGTGTTGGGAACAAGCCACAAGGCTTTGTGTTTGCTTGCAAGTGTTACAAGTTAACCAAATATTCACTGATTTGCATTTTTAGAAGTGGATGGGACTCATGGTCTTTATCCTACTTCTGAGCTACACTCCCAACTTCGCGAAATCCATTTGTCTTATTTTAACAAAAGAGGTAACTTTGTTGCTGTCTCTATGGTTTTGAGACAGGCTTACTCTGCTGTCCAGGCTGATCCTCCTCTGCACTCAGCCTTAGGAGTAGCTAGGAGTACAGGTTGCCCACTACCATGCCCCACGCCAAGGTCATTTTAAAAGGGGGGGGGGGAGTATCAAGGACTGTGATCTGCAGCCTTGCACAAACTGACCTGGAGGGGAAGACCATGGGCAATAGCATACCAGATCCCATGTGTGATGCAACCCTACCTTCAGGCGTCTGCGCCACATGCTTGTATGCCTGGTGCAGGTTCTCCCGGCAGACTTTCTGGTGATCACTCAGCAGTAATGCCAGGGCTAGGATGACACCTTTCTCTAAGAGGCCAGTTCTAAAGATGGGAAGATGGGTTTAGACATCAGAAGACCATTTCATTTTTTTTTTCAAGATTTATCTATTTTATGTGTTGTGGGTCTTTTTGCCTGTGTATATTACATGTGCACCCGATGCCCAAGGAAGTCAGAAGAAAGCCTGGAACTGGAGCCACCACATGGGTGCTGAGAACTAAACGCCAGTCCTCTGCAAGAGCCACAAATCTTAACCACTAAACCATCTCTCCAGACTCAGTTTCAGTTGTCTTAACAGTTGAATGCTCTTCTGTTGTGTGAATACACTGCATTTTCATTATCCGTTCATCAGTTTGTGGGCATCTGGGTTGTTTCTATTTCCCAGATATTGTGAATAGAACATGGTTGACCAGTTGTCCCTACAGTAGGATACAGAGTCTTTTGAGCATGTGCCCAAGAGTGGTATAACTGGATCGTGTGGTAGCTCTATTTCTAGCTTTCTGAGGAACTGCCACACTCGTTTTCATAGTGGCTGCATCCAGTTTGCACTCCCACTAGCTGTGAAGAAGGATTCTTTCCATGCTAACATTTGTCATATATATATATATGTGTGTGTATATATATATATATATATATATATATATATATATATATATTTTTACCATTCTGACAGGAGTAAGCTGAAATCTCAAAGTAATTTTAATATGCATTTCCCTGATATTTGAGGATGCTGAATATGTTTGAAAATGTCTCTCAGCTATTTGTATTTCCTCTTTTGAGAACTCTCTGATTAACTAGTTTCATGCCTTGGTTTTATCTGGGTTGTTTTCTTGAAGTTTATTTGGGGGAGGGGGTTCTTTGTATGGTCTAGATGTGGCTGGTATAACTGGTAAATAAATTTCTCCCATCCTGCAGACTGCTTCTTCAGTTGGATGGCAGTTTCCTTTGCTGTCTAGAAGCTTTTCCATTTCATTGGGTCCCGTTTATTAATTGTTGGTCTGAGCGCCTACACCGTCAGTGTCCCCGTCCAGAAAGTCCTTTCCTGTGCCAGTGAATTCAAGTGTATTCCCTACTTTTTCTTCTACCAGACTCAAGGTATCAAGACTTTAGTTGAAGTCTTTGATCCATTTGGAGTTTTGTGCTAGGTAAGAAATAAAGCTATAGTTCTGCTCTTCTGCACATAGCTATTTAGTTTGACTACCACCGTTTTGTTGAAGATGCCCTTTTCTCCAGTGTGTATTCTTGGCTTTTTTTTTTTTTTTTTTTTTGTCAAAAACCTGGTGGCTGTAGGAGGATGTGCTTACACATGGCCTCTCAATTCTATTCCACTGACCAGTGTGTCTGCTGTTTTTATTACTATAGCTCTATAGTATGATCTCTAAAAAGGTTCAGATAAGATCAGGTCAGTGACCCTGCTGAAAGACATTCTATCTCTGCCACATTCTAGAAACCTGGAAGGTCATAACTGCAGAGCACCGTGGCTTGTGGAGTGGCAAGAATCCCAGCCCTCCCACTTTGGAGCAGCATCTCGGGATTTCTACAGCATGGATTCTTTTCACCATTGTGAGCATCGACCCCGCCATCTGGGAAATGGCACAAGGCAGCAGAAACCTGTAACTCACCCTGCCTGCACAGTGGAGCTGAGCTCACCACTGTTCTACAACAAATGCTGGCTCCCAGGGAGAGATTTCACAGGCCTGGCACCCAACTGCTTCCCTCCAGACTTATGGCTGCCCTCTGTGCTTGTTATGACACAGAAGTTAATTAATACTAGGTAAGCCACTTAGATAAAGAATTGTTTTTATTTTCTCTTGAAAAAAATTGAATGCTATATAAAAACTCAAATGAGTCTATTTTAAAAGATGAGGGGACTGTAAGATAATTCTACATTTTTATATGCAGATTATTTCAATAGTGTCGTTTTGATCTTGGTGTGCTTTTGAGAAACATGCTGCAAATCAAACTAGTAGTTTAAACAGAAAAGTCAATAAAAAAAAAACAAAACAAAACAAAAAACCACCACCTGATGGACCCATATCCTAGAAAAAGCCTGGGTCTTACAAAGGGAATGGCAAATGTCTTGCCGTTTGTGCTTTGACTTAAATGAGCAATTTAAAGGAAATACATTGTTTCTTTTAATCCCTTGATTATGAACCATGTCTTTTAAGTAGACAACAGCATCTGCAAAGGAGTCTTCTGAGATCACATCTGTCAGATTGGGTTCAGGAATAGATTAAAGTCATGTGTGAAGCTCTTCACTAAATATCCAGCACAAGGGACTTATCCAGCCAGTTACTGTGCTGAGACACTGGAGAAATTTTAATCTTAGAATGACTCCCACGATTGGGGGGATAGAAAATGGTGGCAGGACACACCCATTCCAGAGCTGCTGGGTTTCCTCCGTTCCTCCCCTGTGACCCATTCCACACCAGGCATGCTTTGCAAACTGGGCTGGCATGCTTCTTGGTCCCAGTTCTCAGGGGCTATGATGGGAGAATCACTTGTTACCCAGGAGTTCTGGGCTAGCCTGAGCAATACAACAAGAAGGAGGGAAGGAGAAGGGAAGGGAAGGAGAAAAGGTCGAAAAGGAGAAAAGGAGAGAGAAGCTGGGGATAGAACTCACTGCTAAAGTGTGTGCTTAGCGAGAATCCCTGGGTTCAATTCCCAACATCAACAGGTTAAAATAAAAAAACAAAAACAAAAACAAAACAAAACAAAAAAAGGATATCTAGGTAGAGAAGGAAGAGCAGTGGACAGAGGGATGGGAGACAAGACCAGGTAACAAGAGAGGGTGGGAATAAAGAAAGTACATGATATACCTGCTTGGAAGTATGATGAAATTCATGGTTTTGTATGATGAATATTTGGTAACAATAAAAAATTTTAAAGGCAAAAACACCATAAAGAAAAACTCAAAGCAAGAAAGTCGTTTGACTCTAAAGAACGTGGCTCCTCCTGGGAGTTTGTCCATGCTCCAAATGAGTATTTGTACAACACAGATGGGACGTGGTGGGTTTTTTGTTTGCTTTTTGTGTTGTTGTTGTTGTTGTTGTTGTTGTTATGGGGGTGGAGCAAGGTGGGATGGTAAACCTGGGAGGAATGGGAAATGGGTGTGATTGGGGTGCATTGCATGAAATTCCCAAATAATTAATAAAAATATTACGTTGGGGGAGGGAAAAAAAGAATGTAGCATGCCAGGCATTGGTGGCGCACGCCTTTAATCCCAGCACTCGGGAGCAGAGGCAGGTGGATCTCTGTGAGTTTGAGGCCAGCCTGGTCTACAGAGCGAGTGCCAGGATAGGCTCCAAAGCTACACAGAGAAACCCTATCTCGAAAAACAAAACAAAACAAACAAACAAAATGGCCCCTTTGCTAGCAAGCCAGCAAAAGAGCGAGGACTAGAATTCTCCAGGAGCTTCCTGCTCATCGGGGTGCTGCACGAATTAACAACTCAAGGTGCCAAGATGCCATGCTTTAGGAGGCCATCCTTTTTCATCTTTCTTGTCATGACTTGTGTGATGCCAGGGTGAAAGAGTTTCAACACTGGAAGTTCAGGACGGTCACTTAGGGCTTGGTAAGCCACTGGCCATAGTAACAAGATCACCACTGTGGGCTGGAGATGCAGCTCAGTTCTGGAGTACTATATTAGCATAGACAAAGCCCCAAAGTTCAATCAATGCCTATCATCCCAAGAAGGAAGGAGGGAGGGAGGACAGGGAGCAAAAGGGGGAGCAAAAGAAAAGAATGTGGCATGCATGGGGGGGGGCGGAGGTGTATCACCACTGAACTAGGGGGTGTTATTTAGAAACCAACAACATTTGGTTGGAATGATTTACCTCCCTTATCTACTGTGGTGTGCCGGGAAAGGGCTAAGTTTGGAACCCTACGCTCAACACATTTGGGAGGGGCAGCTGTAAGACGCATTCTAGCTCCGTTTCAGGGCAGGGAAGGCATGCCAGTAGGACCAGCTTCTGTCTGTGGTATCAGAAGCTCACTTGTTTGTATCCCAGCAAACTGGGAAGGCGAGGAAGAGGCTGGGTCCCTCCGGAACCTGGGCTTGGCTGTGACCCATAGAATCCATGCTGACAGCCATATGAGGACAGCTAGGCTCCAGCCTCCCCAGAACAGTTTCCAGAGCTTCCTAGTGTCCAGTCAAAGCCCAGTGTGGGGAGCACAGGTCAGTCAAGTGGCTCTCCAGTAGCTCTCCAACTCCAGAGCACAACAGCTGTCCTCTCTGCTGAGGTTTTATCTTAGATAAAATGATGGGATCAAGAGGTTTGGCTAGGGTGCAGAGCAGGAAAGGGGTACTCCTCCACCCCACCCCCCACCCCCGGCAGGCCAGAGCCCGTGTCTCTACCTCACTGCTCTGCCCAGCGCATTGATGTACCTTCTTGCATTAGGGCCAGGATGGCACTGTGTGCCCCCTACACATGTCCCACCACAGCGCCTGATCAGCGTCCGACTGAAACAGGTGCAGGGCTGTCACTAAGGGTCTGAAAGCATAGGGTAACAAACAGCAAAGCCCAGAGTGACTTTGAGTTTTTCTGAAACAACATGAGGCCCTGGGGGGGATGATAAGAAGCCTTTGTGAATGCCAGTGTTTACACTAAATAAGCCTGGGACAGTTGGCGGCTTGCCCTTGGAGCTGCTTTCTTTTTCTGTGGGTATCTAAAGAATGGCAGTGGCCTTTATACAGGAGACTAGGGAGAGGGCGCTGCTGCTGATCTATATCCCTACCTAGGATTCTGTTTTTGATATCAAGTACAGCTGGTGCTCCCTAATCAAGGCGGTGTGCTCGGCTAATGTGAGAAGGGGGCACCCTGCCCCAACAGCCACCCCATTCTCTAACTAAACTAGCAAGGTGAAATAGCGTTTAAGTGCAAATAACGAACCTTGCTGCAGGAGGGGCCTTTTACAGGTATTGCACGCTAAGCCTCAGTGTCTCAGCAAGAGGTGAGACCGGTTCAGACCGGTGTCTACAACAGAAGGTGAGGTCATGCCCCCTGTGAGGATCGAAGACCAGGGACTCAGGAAACGCAAAGGGTTTGCAGATGTTGGATCTGAACTTTCTGCCTTCAACGTGGGAAGGCTAGAACCAGGAGCTATCATAACAATTAGGACAGAACCAGCATACAGCTCCGGGGTAGACCACCTGTGCTGCACGCACGCACAAGGCCCTGGGTTTAATCCCCAGCGCCAAAAGACAACCAAAACTGCCCTACCGAGAGAACTGTCATTAGCAAATAGAAGTACCACCTGAAACCAGTGCTACAGATAAAATTTGGAGCACTCTGGGTTATGCAAAGATGTCTACCAGGGGGAACGGCACAGTGTCTAACTGGGCCCTTGGTTTTCATTAGTAGTTGCCCACCTGCCTATATTATGGGTGGCCATGATATGCAGCACCTCGGTGGTCTTTATCCGCACCAGGTTATCTTCATCCTTCAGCAGGACCTTCAGGCTCTCCAGGCAGCCTGTGGACACAGGTAACCTTTTGAACATTTGCCAGTCCAACAGATTGGCTAGAAGTCAACATGTGAGCCAGTGTTTGGTAACAGGAAAGTACCAAAGGTCTATACTTTGGGTTTGGGGGAATCAAGTCTGTGGCACAGCATCTGTTAGTAGAAGGGGTTCACAACCAGGGATCATCTCATCTAATCCTTCATAACTCTCTCTCTCTCTCTCTCTCTCTCTCTCTCTCTCTCTCCCTCCCTCCCCCTCCCTCCTTCCCTCCCTCACCCCTCGCCTTTCTCTCCCCCCTCTCTGGTCTTTTTGAGACTGGGTCTAACTGTGTAGCCCTTGCTATCCTGGAACTCACCAGGAAGCCCTACCTCAAACTGACAGAGATCCTGCCTCTGCCTCCCAAGTGCTGGGATTGAGAGTGTGGGCCATTACACCTGACATTGTGTAAATCACTTACCTTAGGTTTTTTTTGTTTTGCTTTTATATTTGTTTTTGTTGTTGTTGTTGTTGTTATTTTGTCTTTTTCTGGAATTGAGAACTGAACCCAAGGCCTTGTGCTCTTGCTCTACCACTAAGCTAAATCCCCAACCCTTCATTTTTCCTACTAGTTCCTCTTCTTGCAGTCAGTCCTGGGGTGAAGAAAATTGCCCTTGACATTCCTTTGATCTCAGGAGAGATGTGAGGTCAGATTGGAAACCTGCCATACACATGCTGCTCTTGTAGAGGACCCTGAGTTCGAGTCTCAGGCACCTCACAACCACCCATAACTAAAGCTCTGGGGATCAGACACCCTTTTCTGATCTCCGTGGGCACTTGCACTCACAAACACATAACCACCCATAGGCACACACATAATGAAAATATAAAAAGCAAAGTCAAAAAAGAGACATTCCACAAACTAGTCTCATGCCCTTGCATCGGCCAGAGATTTAGTGTATAAAGATCCTGCCTAATTTTTTAAAGATTTACTTATATTATTTTAAATTATGTGTAGGGGCGTGAGTCTGAAAGTAAGTTTGTGCACGTGAGTGCAAGGCACACTGGAGCCAGATTTGCAGACAGTTGTAGGCTCTGTGATCTGAGTGCTAGGATCTGAACTCTGGGAAAGTAGCAAGAGCTCCTAATCAATGAGCCATCTCTCCAGCCCCTCCTTTTTAACTTTTTTGTTGTTGTTGTTTGGTTAGGCAACTTTGGACTTGTGCCGCTCTCCTAACACTGATTTTTGTATCTGTAGATTGAGGATGTTCTCTCTCTTGCAGGTAGCATTGCACTAAGGAGTACTGCTGGCCTGAAGTCAGGCTTAATAAGTAGCAACTCTTCTACTGACGCCATCCAATGTCTGAGACACACCAGGACCCCAGTCATGACCACCTGGGGCGTGCCTTTCTTACCTATGTGGATGGCCTCATAGACATGCTCAGGATCGTGCATGAGGTCACACAGAGCCACTAGGGCTTTCTGCCTTGTCAGGAGAACCTCCGATTGCAGCTCCTCATTAAGCTTGGGCAAGGCTCGACAGCCGTAAGCAATGGCAGCCTTTGTGGGGTCAATGTCAGGAGGCATGTACATGGAGATCCGTGCATGAGCCATCTTTCCACACCTGCCAAAGGGCTTTGAAAATGAAGCTCTGTAGAAACCACTAATAAAAGAAAAAATAAATTAAAAAGCTGTTGGTATTACTACCATGATGTAGAAGCCAGCCATCTCAGCCCAAAACTACCTGTGAAGACAAACACGGTAGGATACTTTCACCTGATTTACCAAAGAGCAAACAGAAGATGGTGAAATTTCTCAAGGTCACGGCACAGGTAAGTAACCCAAACTACAAATCTCAGTCCTTAATGACAGAAGAAACTGCTTGGGATACTTGATAGATCGGTACTTTGGTCACAGGCAGCAAGCAGAAAAACAACCAAGCAAAAACCAAGATGGTGTGTCCTTTGATGTCTCGTGGCAGCCATGACTAGTACCTAACTGGTATCTAACTTAAGCACTCAATAAATAGTCATCCACATTTATAAGTAAGGAAACATAAGTTGGCTAGGGAGTTGGTAAAGCTAGAAGCTTTTCAGAGGTCTTGCTCCTTCATGTCAAAGACACATAGTCACATGTTTAGGACCTATTCAAAAAAAGGAATGAAGGTTAAAGAATGATTTCTTATTACCCCCCCCCCTCTCTGGCAATGTGGCTTCAGGGTTAAGAATGGGACATAGTCCTAGGCTATGGGTTACCCTCCGTGTGTATCTCTGCAGTTGAAAAATTAGGTAATAAGAGTGCTACCTTCCTGCACTTCCCAGCATTGTCGTTTAAATGAGACCCAGGAGCCTGGCCGACAGAACTTGAAATGTATTGATTGTGGTTATCTTTCTCATTATTGCGTTTAGTGGCAAGAGCGGGACTCAGTTCTGCAAGTAAACGACAAGCCAGACTGTGGTACCAGCCACCAGCCAAGAAGGGGAGGAAAGGGGCCAGGCTGGGAAGGTGGCAGCCATCTCTGAAATGGGCTCCACTCCAGGGAATCATGGTCTCTGGGATAGGGGCTGCCCTCCTGTAAAGGGTACACACTACAAGAATCTAGCCACCAAAGAAAAGGCGAGACCCAGGGTGTGGGGTCGTGAGCCCCGTGTGAACGGAATTGGGTAGGTCAGGAAGCTCCCCAATACCTACCCGCTGCAGCTGCCTCACTCGCTTTAGTCCTGGTCTCTGCCAGGCAGAGCGCTCATTCCAGTCCCAAGCGACCTGGTTGCTAGGAGACTGCCAGCGTCTGCAGCTTCCTGGTCATCACCCTAGAGAGCTAAGGCGCAGGCGCAAAAGGCCTAGGGCTAAGCCCCGCAGAGAATGGAAAAACGATAATATTTTAACAATGTTACTACTTAGAACGAAGGCAAGTCACCTTTATGGTACTGATGAAAAAGGAAATGACTGATTTAGGCCCTTCTCTTTCTTGTGTACTTTGCATGCTTTGGGTCATCGGAGTTTAACTTTATGATTTTGTTTTTGTTTTGTTTGTTTTGGTTTTTCGAGACAGGATTTTTCTGTAGCTTTGAAGCCTGTAGACCAGGCTGGCCTCGAACTCACAGAGATCCACCTGCCTCTGCATCCCGAGTGCTAGGATTAAAGGCGTACGCCACCACTGCCCTACAACTTGATGTATTTTAAGGCTAAGACTCTCAAAGAGATTCGGTTGCTTCCCTCCCTGTCCCCAGAACTGCCTAGCCAGGGCTCACATTTCTGCAAGCTGATCGCCCAGCACATCCTGGCTCGAGTGGCTGTTTTCTAAAGCAAACCAGTCCCAACAGGCCCTCCTTAACGTCCCCTTTGGCTCCACAGTGGACTGAGTCCTGAGTCCAAACTCCTAACCTGAGACAGGAGGTGGTGGTGTATTCCTTTATTACCACCACATGGGAGGGAGACACACGATATAGCCCTACCCCACCTAATCCTCTCCCTCATGCTCACAACATACTGAAATCCTGCCTAGCATACTACACACAATATGGCAAGCCCAGCTTACCTTCCCTAACATAAACATACAACATGTGAGACACACACACACACACAAACACACACACACAACCTTTCACAAACACACACACACAATATAACAAAACCCTGTCTGGTAGCCCCTATAGACACAACTCAGCCCAACCCCCTCTCACATAGCAAGGTCTCACCTGTGCTCTTTCTGGTTATTGTCTCTCTGTGCCTGACATGCCAAGAGGCTTTCGGTAAATGTAGACTGAGCGGTTGATGGACTTGAATTAAGAGTTACAATTTAAAAGCATTTTCTACAATTCATATATTCCGGAATACAGAAGCAACTCAAAAGAGAAAAGCTTTGGTTTGGTTTAGAGTTCCAGGAGGGGGGCCAGCCTGTGGGTGCCTGGGAAAATATGACAGTGGGAAAGCTGGGAGCAGGAGATGAGTGTAGCAGGGATAATATATTTCTATGGACTTGACCCCAGTGACCTGGTTCCCTCCGTAGTCTAAAGCTTTCACCGGCTGGGGACTAAACATTCAAAACATGAGCGTAGGAGGACACTGTGACCCTTTAAGACAGTTTGTCATGACACTGTGACCACCCCCACCCCACCCCCGCTGCCACAAAATTATTTTTGTTGCTACTTCATAACCGTGATTTTGCTATGGCTTGTAATTTAAAATCTGTGTTTTCCAATGGTCTTAGGCAACCCCTGTGGAAAGGTCATCCAAGCTCAATGGGCTGTTTTATATTCCGTTCACGAACTCCAGGAAAACCCTTTAGTTTTCCTTGTTCTCCGTTGACTAAAATGAAGACCACTGATGAAAGAGGTGCATAGATAGATATTTGGGTGCATTAGATAGTTTTCTTGTTAGTATGACAAAATAATCTGACAAAAAAGAAACCGAGAGATTTATTATTTATTTCACCTTATATATTGAAGATACAGTCCATGGCCTTGGGGAAGGTGAGACAGCTAAAGTGACTCTCAGCTCTGACTCTTCACCTTCCCCTAACTCGATGGAATATGAAGCAGGTAGGGGCGCTAAAGGTTGGTGCCCAACTGGTACTCAACTCATAGTCATGATGGGTATTCTCTTGACAGTCAGAGCTCCCTGAAATTGTCCCTACAGATGCTCTCAGAGTTGTGTCTACCTAGGGGTAAATCTAAATCCTGTCAACGATGATGATTGAATATTACACATTTAATATAGTTTCCCACTGTCTTGCTGTAGAGAGAAGCCCTGGTTTCGGGTTATAACAAGTGTTAGATTATTTTTCAGGGATGGGAAGGCTACTTTTGATGAAGACTGCTCCTTGGGGTCTATATGTGTCTGATGGGTGATTGGGAAGGAATGAAAAGATAGGGCGACCTTAACCTTTGGGTGACATTCTCTCTATTCCTGCATGGAGATTGATTCTTGGAGCTGGTCTTCCGCCTTCCTGATCTTTCCAGTAGCTGCTACAACTTAAACACCTAGTTACCACTCCCACACTCATGTCCTTAAGTACATGAAGACACTGGTGTGGATGCTTATTATCCTATCATGTGGGGGATGGGACCAACAGGATCAGGTGGTCAAGGCCATTATCATGGAAATTTTGAGGTTCTCCTAGACTACTACATGAGGGCTTGCACAAATAATTAAAAACAAAAACAAAAACAAAAACAAAAAACAAACAAAAAAACCCACTGCAGTTGAGTTTTGCCAGCATGGCCATGACCACTTGTGTCTAACCCACCCTAGCTAATAGATACAGGACTGTATCTCATTTTGATACAAAGTGTGTGTGTGTGTGTGTGTGTGTGTGTGTGTGTGTGTGTGTGTGTGTGTGTGTGTTGGGGGGGGTGATCTGTCCCTTCCTGCTCCCACTCCCTAGCCATAGACCCATTGGAGTCTTGCTGCCAACCCCGCACACACCTACGTCTATGTTCTATTATATGTATGCTAAAAGAACCCAAGTCTCCAGCAACATCATCCTTGTTGATGGGCCATTTAATAGCTGAGTAAACTGAGGTTTGGAGGTGTAAAAATACAGTCCTGAAGCCTGAGCAGTGAAACTACTTAGCCCAGACATCAAGCAGAAGTGTCAGTCTCCAGGGCATGTCCTGTTGCATTAAAGATGACTGGAATGGATCTACCAAGGGTCCCATACTACATTTAGATGTCTCCCTGCTGTTGTCCTTCAGGGGATCAAGTTCTAAAGGGTCTCTCTGAAAACTGCCCTCGTTTTATTTAGGAACGTGTGGTGAGCACCGCTGGGCTGCAAGTCAGAAAATCTGGGTTCGATTCTATTTCTAACTCACTAAGCAAATCTTTTGGAACAAAGCTTTGTAGTTTTCTTGGAGCGGGAGGGGGTGTCTGGTAAGAGTTCTAAAGCCTCCGGAATACAGCCTGTACCCCACACCTCGCTTTTCAACAGAATCTAGCTGGAAGGAGCCCAGTAACTTGAGTCAGCTTTTTAAACATCCATTAATGGAGGGAATTAATTTTTCAGCATGAGTGCCAGAAGCCGAGCACACGATTTCCAAATAGCGTTAAATTCAAACTGATGCAGTAAGGCAGATGGTGGGCATGAGTTGGGCCCTTCCCTTGCCGCAGGGAGGATGCGGCGCTTCAATCCAATACCAAGACTCCTTTTACGGGGACTGTCACAACCCGGCCCGCGAAGGTAGCCAGAGTGAACCTCCAGCCAACCCTTCACCCCTCATCCCCACCCAGAGTTCATCCTGAGAGACCACCCACTGGCCCCGCCTATTCACCACCGCCCTGGTTGTCATGGTGAGCCTGGGCGCTCCAGTGGAGTCCGGAAGTCACCGAGCAGGCGGTGCAGCGCTCTGCGCCCCGGGAGGCTCTCGTTGCTATGGTGATGGCTCCGCGCGCGCGGGCCCTGCGCCATCAGTTACCACCGACTGGAGGAGGGTCCAGACCCCGCCCCTGACGTCCGGATTCAAGGCTACCAGCCAGTCCCGCGAGGCCCGCGTTGCTGTAGTGATTTGCCGCAGCCCGCGCGCCGGAACCCGGCCTTTGCAGCTTTGGTGAGTCCACTCACCCTCTCCGCTGGGGATGCATCCCAGAGGTTGTGGTCCTGAGGCTACCTTGTCCCGCCCCCCTCTTACCCCCAGACCTGAGTGTGACCTTCAGGCCTGGTTTTCCTCACTGAGAGTCCACCCCGGGCCCGGTCTCTGGGGGAGCCGAGTCAGATGAGGACATTAGACTTGAGGGGCCAGACTCGGGTGGTGTGGGGACCATCAGGTAAAGGGTCCGGAACCTAAAGTCACCATACTACTCAGAGGCTCCATCTTAAAATGCACTAAGCAGGAGACACCCTCCCCACTCCAGTTCCACTATCTAGGCTGTAATCCACAGCCAGGTTTTTTGTTGTTGTTGTTTTGTTTTGTTTTTCCATACCTCCCTCAAGCCATGGAAGTGAACCCACAGGTGCCCCTCCTCCCAGACACTCACCTCTTGACTCAGGGCAAGATAGGGTATGGGCTGCTCCTCCACTGTGCCGCCTACAAATTGAATGGCCTCTGCCTACTGTTGCTGATAGGGATGGAAGCCGAGAAGTGTTTTTAAAGTGATGAGAAGTGATGATGAAACTCACAGGTGTGTTTTGAGGATCTGTATGGCTTTCCAATTCTTGTCAAAAGGCAAATGTAACAAATTTAGTTATAATTGACTTTGTGAGTCTGGGATTGGGCAACCCTTCGTCCTGTAAAATAAAATGAGTGCTCTCATGTTTTTGTTTGTTTGGTTTGGGCCTTTTTAGGACAGGTTCTCACTGTGTTGCCCAAGTACCTTAGAACTCACCATCCTCCTGCCTTTGCTTTCCCAAGTGCTGAGTATATAGGCCTGTGTTACTACTACACCTGACTAGGAGTTTGGTTCTATAGACAAAAAAAAAAAAAAAAAAGAAAGGGAAGAAGAAATAGTAAGAGGCAACTTGGTTGTTTGAAGTTACTTACTTTATAGGTTTATTCATGCAGGCTCAGGTTGGCTGGTCCCTTTTGAGGGCTGTGGATCTCTTGTCCAATCAGAATCCTGCTTGATCATGTGGCACCTTGGGTACTCTGTTCCACTTTGATCTGTGGGGCTATAATGCAGAAACTAATCTCATATATTTATGTAATACTCTTTCCCCTTGATTCAGTCTACAGAACACTGGAAGAATGAGGTCCTCTTGGGCCCCTTTGGGGCCTCCTGTGAGCCCGGACCGCATCATCACCAACTTCCCGAAGGTACAGTCAATGAGAACACCTTTGTTGTTGTTTTTAGTTTCCTTTGGGTCTAGATTGCTTTGACAAAAGGCCTGCACTATCCCTGACAAACCTGGAATTCCCTAAGTACCCTAGACTAGTCTTACATTTGCAATCTTCCTGCCACAGTGTCTCCAGTGCCGGGATGACAGGAATGTGCCATTGTTTCCAGCCCTTTTTGTCTTCACTGTTGATGTAACCCTTCAGCCATGTCCAGCTTTGTCAACATGCCTTCACCCCCAGTAACAGAGCAAGTGAATCCCAGAAGTTGATCTTATGGACGTTGAGTTCCTCTAAAGCAGGCCAGTAGTGACAACAGGTAGTTCTGTGGCACCGAGGTGATAAGCCACTTGGGCAGTCCTTGGTGTAAATCTTGATGCTGTCTTTAAGCTGTAACCATAGGCAAGTCACTCATGCTTGCCTTGGAGCTGATGCTCGTGGTCAGTGTAATGGTGTCCCCTGCCCCACCCCAGTCCTGGCATTCCTCGTTGTTCTTATTACTGGCTCTCCAGAGGACAGGAATGTAACAGTAGGACAGCATTTGCCTGAGTTTTATCCCAAGCACCGCAAGGGAGGCTGAGGGGAGAGCACAGGTGTGGTGCCACACACCTGTAGTTCCAGCACTTGCAAGGCAGAGACATGATTGTCAGTGGGAGGTCAGCCTGGACTATGTAACTAGATCCATCTTAAGAATAAAATGGTGTTCTAATTTCTGATCTCCAAATCCAGGGCTTTCTCCATTGCTGTTCTGCCTTCACCTTTTGCCGAAAAGTCCCATCTGTCCTGCAGTCTATTATTAACCGTAGTGGGGAATGCAAAGATAACCTTCACTAGGGGACAGTGGAACAGTAGTTACCCATATCACAAATGCCTTTGCCCATTGTGTAGCCATCCCACTACTAGGAATCCATTGTTATGTATGTTCTGGCATGAAGGGAAAGTGTGTGAAAGGCCAGGCTTTGCAGCTGTTGGTAAGAGCAGAAGGTCAGCGTCAGTGTCCGCAGAGAGGCCAGTAGAGATGGGGCCCCTCAATACGGATGGGAGGGATGAGGCACCTCTTCCCAGTGCTAAGGAAGGACAAAGAAAATTGTTAGGTAGAATACAACAAAATGGAGCTGTAGTTAAGTGTGTGTATTGTTGGAGCATGTGGTTAAGTCCATAGATAGCATCACCAAAAAAAAAAAAAAAAAAAAGGGTGGGGGTGTCTGTTAATTCATGTGGAAACTATTTCTAAAAGGTAACGTTAAGATCCTATTGTGCACCAGGTGGGGTGGTGGTGTACACCTTTGATCCCAGCACTCGGGAGGCAGAGGCAGGTGGATCTCTGTGAGTTTGAGGCTAACCTAGTCTTCAAAGAGAGTTTCAAGACAGTCTCCAAACCTATAGAGAAACCCTGTTTCTGCTTCAAAAACTTAAAAAAATAAAAATAAAAAAAATAAAAAAAGATCCTGTTGTGCATTGAGAGCCACTAGCAAATGAACAATTAGTTTTCTCCCAGGGAGTCTCACTGGGGAAACAAGCCACTCTTAAGGGTAGTCCCCATGCCCAGCAGTAGATGGCCAACAGAAAACTAACTCAGTGGCATCTTTGGACAAAGGTTCTTTGTCCCATAATATTAAGTCGGGGCCTCCCCCCCCCCACCTTACAGGTCTTTTGTTAGGGCTCTGAGTTTGGAGTTTTTTGGGATGCTGTGTATGTGAATACGTGTGTCTCTGATTCTGTATGCGTTTCTTGTGCTGTTTCTCTGGCTCCTTTTTTGTTCAGTTATTTTGTCATACTCTGATTTGGTTGTTATTTTTATTTATTATTATTCCTTAGATACCTGTTTGATCCTTACAGAAAGGGTATGGATCCAGCTGGAAGGGAAGGTGGGGAGGAACTGGGAGGAGTAGAGGGAGGGGAAACCATAATCAGAGTGTGTTATATGAAAAAAAAATCTATTTTCAGTAAAAGAAAAAAAGACCCTTGTCTATGTAAAATAAGATTGTTTCTAATTTAAATTTAAAAAAAAAAATTTAAAAAGGAAAGGCCCTTATCTTAGAGTTTCTATTGCTGTGAAGAGACACCATGACCACAAAAGGTCAAGGAAAACACTTAATTGTGGTGGCTCACTTACATTTCAGAGGTTTAGTCCATTATCATCACAATGGGACATGGTGGTGTGTGGGCAGACATGGTGCTAGAGAGTTAGGTGAGTGTGTTATATCTTGGCTTACAGGCAACAGGAAGTGGTCTGAGACACTGGGCAGTATCTTCAGCATTTATGAGCCCCCAAAGCCTGCCTCCACAACGACACACTTCCTCCAACAAGCCCACACCCATACCAACAAAGCCATATCTCCTAATAGTGCCACTCCCTTTGGGGGCCATTTTCTTTCAAACCACCACAACCCTGTTGCTCACTGTTGCTTCTGTGTGGCTTGAACGGGTGTGAAGGGAGACTTTTTGTGTCTTTTAGATTCTGTGCCAAAACCAGTAAGGAAGAAGAAGGTGGCTGCACGCTGCAGGTGTTCCTGTCTGCAGTCTTTGCTTCTTCACCTTTCTTTATCTTTCCCTCTAACTTCCCTCTCACACACTGACAGAAAAAGCCTTTGTACCTCGGACTTTGGAGAGTTTCCCCAGGTTTTTTATAGTGCTCTCGGGCCATTGCTTTCCCAATGGCGTGTGACCGTGGTAACCATGGATGATTCAGGCTGGTGTCTTATGCATTGAAGAGAAAGGAAGTATAATCAGTGGGGGATGGGGGCAGGCCCAGTCTCATGGGACAAAGGATGCTATTCACAGAGTAGGAATTGACGCTCAGAAAAACCAGGAAAAGCTTGACATCAACACAGTTGGGCATGGTAGAACTAAGATTTGACCCAGCTGCCCTTGCAAGGCTCCGGAGCTCCCAGCCCCAGGGAGTCTGCCCAGGGAAGAAGATGAGATTGCCCTACAGCCCTCCACCTACAGCAGTCAGGGTCACAGGCTACAGCTGGCCATGTCTTCCCTGCATCCCAGGGCCACTCCGGATCTGCAGACTTATTAACCATGTCAGACTGGGTCAACGTGATGCTTCCTGGGGAAGGTTCTTTCTCTTTATTCTGTGTGCCTCAGTTTCCTTGTCTGAGAAAGGGGCTCGCACTTCCTACCCCACAGCCTGTGGCATTGGCAGGGCTGAGGAATGTTAACGAGGCTGCAAGCCTCAAGTCACAGGAGAGAAGGAAGTTTAGGAAGTAAACTTCCGATGTCCAGTTTGTATAACCAAGATGTGACTTTGCAGGACTGTCTGCTTGCTTGTCTGCATGTCTGTCTGTCTTTTGCTAGTGGTACACACCTGATGCCTGCCTGCAGCTCAAGGAGCACTTCCACAGCCAGGTCAGCACTGCCTGCCAGCACAGGAACACGGGCACTGTTGGGTAAGCCCATGGGACAAAGATGTGGAAAGTTCAGGAAGAACAGACGCACACATGCATGTGTAAATTGAATACACAGACTGAACCAAGGCCACTCATTAGCGGGATTTTAATCTAACTTTACCGTACAAACAATCCCCCTGTCTCTCAGAATGTCATACTGATGACTTTTCAGCTGAAGGGCAGTTTCAGCGCGGGTCCATTTTTTTCTCTGATGTTGTCCGTTTTCTCTGTACTTCCTATGCTCTCTTCTCTGCCCCTCAGCCTATGGCTCAGCCTCTCCTCATGCCCATTGCTAATTCTCAGGACAGGATATAGCCATAAGGGTAGCAAAGCTCCAAAAACAAATATAAGTTCTCCCACCCGCCAGGACTAGCGAGGGAAGAGAGAGTGGCTTAGCAGGGTAGGCCTTCCTGCATCTAGGGTGGAAGGGTGACTCATCCAGATAGTTGAGGTAAGGAAAACCTTGGATATGCTGAAGACACTGTTGATACCATTCTCCAGGGTGATACGGACATATTTCCTCCAGGCTTAAGCTCTCCAAGGTGGTGGTTGTTGGCGATCTCTACGTGGGAAAGACTAGCCTCATTCACAGGTAAGTCCTGCCACCCTCCTCACGCTGTCAGGCCGGTCCCACCTCCCAGCACCAAATTATAGTATCTTTGTCTGAGAGCCCCAAATAGCATATGACTTGGGAACATAACACAGCTTTAGCCAGGGAAAGTGTTTGAAGGGCGTGGTAAGAGTCAAGGAGAGAGGCTTGGAAAAATGGCTCAGTGGCACTGCTCTGCCCCCCACACAGAATCTGAGTCCCAGCACTCACACTGTGTGGCTCATAGACACTTTCAGTTCCAGTTCCTGGAGGTTTGACTCCTTTGGACACCACAGAAGCCTATGCTCATGTATATGCGCGCGCATACACACACACACACACACACACACACACACACACACACACACACAATTTTTAAAAGTAGATAAATAAAATTTTAGAGATTGGGCGCTCAGGAGATTGACTCAGTCAATAAATGCTTGCTGCGTTAAGTACGCAAACCTAGTTTTCATACCCAGGACCCAATGGGGTGCATGCCCGTGATCCCAGCGCTGGGAGATAGTGATAGGGTTCTTAGGACTTGCTGCTCAGCCAGTCTAGTCAAATCAGTCAGAGACCTTGTCTCAAAAACTAAGACGGAGAGCAATTAAAGAAAAACGCCCTGTGTCGGTCTCTGATCCTCACATGTGCGCATGCGCCTGCGCACACGCTCCATTGCGGTGACTGACAGATGGTATAGCATCCTACAGGCTTAGTGTTCATCATACTGTCCCCATGGGACCCCCTGCACTGCCCTCCCTGGGAATGGATCCTTAATTCCTTTCACTGTCTTACAGTGCTTGCTTTCTGGGCTGATGCAGCACCCCTCCCCCACATCGTTCTTATTGGCTGCCCTGTTGCTATGGTTTGGATACGTATTTTTCAAAGGTCCCTGAGTCAAAAGGCTTGTGGTCTCCAGCCTGTGGCACTTTTGTAAAGTGGCAGAACTTGCTTTTTTTCTTTTTTTGAGATAGGGTTTTTCTGTGTAGCCCTGGCTGTCCTGAAACTCAACTCTGTAGACCAGGCTGGCCTCCAATTCACAGAGATCGGCCTGCCACTACCTCCTGAGTGCTAAAGGCATGTGTCACCACCTCCCGGGTAGGTGGCAGAACTTTTAAGAGGTAGAGCCTTGTGGATGCTCTTTAGGTCGTTGGGATGTACATGTGGAAACAGTGTGTCCCAACCCATTTCTTTCTTTGCCTTCCTGGCCATGAGGGACTTGTTTTTGTTTTCCTCACCACTAGTTCAGAGCAACATGGACTGAAGCCTCTAGAAATACAAGCCCAGATGAACTTCACCTCATGGGTTGCCATCATCTCGGGAGTTTGTTCCAGCGATGGAAAGCTGATTGAAACACCTGTGCACCCACAGCCTCTGCGCACCATGGCTTTCTTTGCTGTATTTTCATTTTTTTAAGACAGGATATCATTTTTTAGCCCTGTCTGGCCCAGAACTCCCTATGTAGACCAGGCTGACCTCAGACTCACAGGGATCTGCCTGCCTCTGCCTCTGCCTCCCTAGTGCTGGTATTAAAGGCGTCACCACCACAGCCGGCCACCATCATTTATTGATTCCCTACTTGGGGCTCTTCCTTCCATCAGACTTTCACTGCTGTGGGCATCTCCACCCATTTATGTTATGTGAGGGGACCCCTAATGACTTCCTTGCCTCCCACAGGTTGTGCAAGAATGTTTTTGACCGAGATTACAAGGCCACTATTGGGGTAGACTTTGAGATCGAGCGCTTTGAGATTGCGGGGATTCCCTACAGCCTCCAGATGTAAGTCTCTGTTGTTGTGGTTCCCAGATCTCCCCAGGGAAAAGACCTTAGCCAGATCCTTTTCCTCTTCATCCCACGGTACACCTTGGCAAGGATGTATCTGGACAAGCATGGCCCTGGGTGGTTGTAGAAAAACAGGCTCCGTGGTTCCTGGGACCCTAGATTCTCTCTCCATCCTCACAGCTGCCGACTGTTGGTCAGCAGATTTGGAAATGGTCTTGACAGCCCAGTCTGCTCTCCCACCCGCTCTCCTCCCCGACAGCTTCTTACTGAGGTTCATCCTTCTTCCCATCCTGTGATCTCCCAAGCAGCAGGTTGGCCTCTGACAATTTTCTCCTGAGCTCTAGTCTCTATTCTCAGCTATGAAATAGGACAGTCAGTCCTTGTGTGCCAGCCTTGGGTGAGTAGGGCTCTGCAGGAGGCCACCTGCCCTCATCCCTTTCTCCAGCCTGAGTTCTCCGTCGTCCCTCACTTCCCTCTGTCTACGTGTATCTCCTCTGTCCATAGTGCTCTCCCCCACTCAGGCTGTCTTCTCTCCCAACCCCATCCCTGCTCTGGCTTCTCAGTGGCGCACTGGTTTCTGCCCCACTTCACCACCACCCCCTCCACTTTCCCTCATGTCAATGCCAGGCCTTGTCAGGGTTCACCTTCTTCTACCCTGGTGAAAGTGCTTGTGCTTTGGGCCTCATTCTCCCCACTCCCCGGGGGGATCTGCAGGCATGCCCAGCTATCAGACCCCTGTGCTCCCTGGTGAGGCCCCTCCTCCCTCCTCCCTGATGCCTTCTTCTTACTGGCTGGCATTCACCAAGCCTTTGTTCTAGTCCCCTTCCCTGTCTTCCTCCCTGGCTTTTAGTCTTATTCCTCTGTGCCCTGCCTAGGCTGAGCCCTCAGCTCCTGTGTCAGCTCCCATCTCCATGGAGACAGTGCCCTGGTATCATCCTGGAGCCAGATGATAAACACATCCTGTCCAAGGGTGAGCACAGGGTTGGTTCAGAGCAAAAGACGCTATGAAAATCCAGGGCTTCGTGACTGAGGGTTCTGGAAAGCTGAGAGGAGCAAGGATTCTGGTATAGAGGGAGCAGCCAGGTGAAGCAACCGGGCCCTCACTATGGCTCCAGGTAGTCTCTAATTAGAGGGACCAGTGTAAAATGGGCACTGCTTTGCCACAGACTCTCAGGATCTTGAGGCCATTGCCAGCCACCAGCTTAGCTTACTCTGTGCCCATTCCCCCAGAGGCTTCTTCAGAGATGAAAAATGAATGAATAAATGAAGGAATAGAGCCCACAAGTCTTCATTATGCCCAATTGCTCAAAAAACAAATTCAGATCACTGATACCGTATTTGTGGGTTATCATTCTAGTTTACTGAGAAAAATTAAATGTTGATCTGTTGACTTTAAAAAGTGATGGATTGCAGCTTGGGTTTCAGGATCATCCCTGCATATAACAACCTTTTAAGCCCAGACAAGCCCTCAGCATGTCACACACACACCCCCTCTTCCATCTTGTACCCATGGCACACATTATTAACCTGCTATTCCATTCCTTTTTCATGGCTCTAGAGCTCAACTAGATGCTCAAGGGATGCAAACCGTGTCCCTGTTAGCCCCAGTCCCCACATGGGGAGCTGCTGTGCTGAAGGTGAAGGGGTGCAAAACGCGCAAATATGCTGAAGGTCTGCCCTAGAACCCCAGCATTGACCTGTTATAGAACATATAAGATCCTTTTTAATGTCATCGTCAGAAAGGGCCGTAATTTTGTCAGAGCTGTAACTTTGTTTATCTGGACAAGGCACTTTGCAGTGTTATACCTTCTCCCCTACCGGCACTGTGACCCCAGGAGGGATGACAGGGAGGTGGGGTCAGGAAGAGCTGGATCAGCCAGGCACTTCCTGTTGTTCACGTGTGGCTGGCATGCTCACGTGTAGGTCCTACGATCTTATGGTCTCACTGTTCCGTTGCCTTAGGATACTGTGACTGCTTAACCTACCTCCTCTATTTCCTTGTCTCCCTCTTCGCCTCACAGCTGGGACACAGCTGGGCAGGAGAAGTTCAAGTGTATTGCATCTGCCTACTACCGCGGTGCCCAGGGTGAGCAGCCGAATGACACTGAAACTCTCAACCCATGTCATCTGCACAAACACTACTTTGCTGTGCTCCAGGAGCCACTGGGATAACACTGTAGCCAGTGCTCAGAGATGGAGAAGCTGCCTAGATGTCTAGACCCTGGCTGTCTTTGACAGTCACAACCTAAGGGAATCTGAAGTATTAGGTGCAGGCAGCCTCAGGCCCAGTTTTCAACTCTAAAAAAGAGTATTCTTATGGATCCCAGAAAAGAGAATGACCTCATATTCCAGGTGAAGATGAGAAGAGGCTTCTCCTGTCTTAGCCTGAGGGGGCTAGGTGAGAGAGGAGTGACAGGTGGACCCAGCAGGGTTGGAAGGTCCTATATGGGGACCTCAGTGCCCACTGCCAACATGGCCAGGGGTGGCAGCTGGGGCCTGAGCAGGGCTCAAAGTCAACAGAGATGGCAACGTGAAGCCCCCAGGAAGGAGACAGAAGTAGGATCTAGTAAGAGGTGGGAAAACCATCAGAAGGACCCCAAGCAGGCTCAAAGTTATGTCCTTCTCAGCAGTGGTGTGAGAATTCCTGCAGTTTCATCCCAGTGTGAAGAAGGGAGAACAGGCTATAAGCTGAGCTGTGGGTGGAACCTCCAGCTTGGCCATGTCCTCTGTGGCCTCCTATAGCTATCCCCTCTCCTAACCTTTCTTCCTGAGGGGCTGCTGCCTCCCTGGAATGAATGGTGTGAGGTGGCCTAGGACACTTTTGTAAACAGTACTCTCCATGCCCATCACCGGTAGGATTATCATCAATCAAAGTGCCCAGAAAGCCCTTGTCCTCTGCCTGGACCATCCTCCTGTGGACTTCCCCTTGGGAATCCAGGGTAGACTCTATGATGAAAAGAACTGACCGCAGAGATACCTGACAGTTTGCTGCCCACATAGCGCCACAAAAGCCATTTCCTTTAACTGGTTGTTACTAATCCCCATCCTTCAATTAAAAGTCTGCCCGGGGTCAGGCCCTAGACCAACAGCTTTTCAAAACAGTGTCCCTGCTGACAACCTGAGGTACCATTCTTATCACTGTACAGACTGGGAAAACAGGTTCTCTACAGTTACAGGCCTACCCCAAGCCCATTGGGCCACAAGTAGCAGAGGCTCTCTTGCCAGAGTCCACATGCTTCAGGCCTTTCACTATGCCCTGCCCTGTGCTGCTAGGTACAGGTTTGGAGGGTTTGGGAGGGGTGGTGAGAAGGCAGGTCCAAGGGGGCCACCACAGGGTGACTCCTCACTAGTCTCCACAGTGGTCCCTTCCCCCCTCCCCCCC